TTGAGTGTCCATAATCGGTGCTACTTTCCTTTGGCACCTCCATCATCTTGGTGGCAGCAACCGGCATCAATTTGTGGACGTGTGGATGCAGGACAATATGGTCGACAGGGTTGCAAACACGAATTCAACCAGTCCTGCAAATTTTAAATTGAAGTTGCCCTTGTACCTTGCCACAGTGGGCTGTTTTGCGGACATTTTGCCCCCGACGAGCCTGTCGACAATCGCGGGTGCTATGAAACTTACATTGTAACATTTTGCGAAGGCGCGCTGCATCACGCCTATTTGTCACCCGACTTACAACCGCCTCCATCCGCCGACATGGCGTTATTTGTCTAGCGATGCTCATCAAACACGATGACCCACGACCGAATTTATACCAGCAGTTGAAAACTACACTGCTGTCCGAAATTCTGTACGGATTTAAGTGTCCGTGTAGAGCTGGTTGGCGACAGGGCCACCGATATTGTTTCGCAGCTTAGCAGCAAGAATGTCAGAATGGTTGCTATTACATTATACCACAATCACATCCTTATTAGAGCGTACATGCTCTTGGAAATCTGAAACGCTGGGATATTTAGTCGTCAACTGATATCTGCCAGAACCGTCCGATGCTGCCCTTCATGCTCACACTATAGCTGATACTCCAAGTTTTCCGCCACTTTGCACACACCTTAGTGTGTATTTTTCCTGAACATTGCACATTTGTTTTTCACTCTAAAACCCAGGTTATCGTTGCTGGCTTTGCACTTATGATGTAACTCAACATCTAGTGACCTCCGGTCGATCCATTTGCTGCTCAAACACTAATTCCACTCATGCTCTGAGTCTACAGAAGACAGTAAAACGTATACTGGCTCACCGAATGAATGAAAGTTGCAATTTCAATACGGCTTTATTCTAAGGCGAGACTAAAAAGTAGCCGTTTGGTACCCAGCATGCTTCTCCGGACATGCGCTCACTCACCAAATCAAGGTTGTGAAATCGCACCAGGGGTTGAGCCAATGCAAGCAGTGCAGATTCCTTACCCGTAGTACATATCTGAAATCACCCCCTACATACCCTGCAGCCCAAGAAGCCCTGAGGTTTCACACATGGGTTAAACGTGGCTGAGACAACTTGTTCACGTGAAGGACTTACCCAATGTTGATGGATGTACACGATCGACTCTACTGATCGTGGTAGTGTTCACATCGTACAAAAAGCAGAAAACTGAACGACACTCTTCGCCGCTCTAAACAACGTTACCAAGCAAAACAAACTGCGGCCTGATTCAGCGTTTGCACTCCATGCGTTCGATGGGGAACATCGAGGCTAAATCTGGTAGTGAGTTAATGCCGCAGCATAATTTTGACTTATGCGCGCACGCTCGCTTTGTTGCCATTCATAGGACGCCCTCTTGGGGTAGGAGAATTCAGTGGGTTGAGCCATGCTATACTGTCTGATTGTCTTAAATATGCGGGGGTAAACACAGCGGGGCAGATCACCAGCGGCACGACAGGTGAGTCTAAGGATCAGGTGTAAAGGATGCGCTTTGTGCAACACAAACGCACAAGTGGAAGGACGCCCATCATAATGCACATGGCACCATACAAATCAGGTAGTTGACACAGAGCTGTAGGACATCCACTTGAGCTTTCAGCCTGGGTTCGACAAGCATTTGGGACGGAAACAGCATCAAGTTTTTTTCGAGCATCCACCCTATCTGCACTTGATTACGCAATTTTTCAACAGATGCATCATCAGGTAGCAAGCATTAGAGCTTGTCTGCACGGTGCAACAATCCGAGGACGTCCATAAGCTTGTGAGCATTACAGTTGTAGAGCAGAGGATTGATTCTGGCAGCGTGGCGGAATTTCCAGTCATTTTCGAGGAACACACTCATTTGCAAATCAATTTGGCTTGCCTGAGATACAACTGAATCTCTCGTTTCTGATATTCCTCTGGTCATTTTGTTTTTTAATACTGCATTGGCTGTGACGTGGGGAAATCAAGTCACCTGTGGCCCTGAAGCAATGTTTGTGAAGATTTCAGAAACTTCGGCTTCTTTTTATTCTCAACGAACATAGGTCTACTTGCCACAGGTATGGCCATTTTCTTCTACGCGCCAGATGAAAACAACACCTGTGGGGCACAGAGGTGGACCGTTGCTCATTCATGCACTTTGCGTCGCCAAGCATATGTTGTATGTCATTGTGAAGGCTAGTCAACCCAACATTTTACTGATTTTCATGTTGCTTATGGCCCACACTGATACGCAGAAGCGACACGTGGAGGCTTGCGGTATCAGGCGTGTTGGAGTTTGCCACCCTAAGGTCCTTCTCATAACCGGAAAACTGGGGCAGAGACACCAAATACACCTCCTTGCTAAAGTTCAAATAGGTACATTTCCTGCTTTTTCGACAATTGATGAACTGTAATCAGTTCGGTCAGATCATCTGAGTAATCATATAAAAGGCCTAGGTCGTCAGCTTTCTGGATGCCTAAGTAAACTACCATGTGATTTGGAATAACTGAATTGTTTCAGATTGTCCACCAGAGTGGATAACATAGTACACTGGAAGCAGGACGTACTACTGTGTGAATTTGCCAATTGATATAATTTGTGGGAGTGGCTTCACATGTGCTTTAGCGGGAACGTTCCAGCGAAGAAATCTGCAGTTTAACAGAGCATGTCTGCTTATGTCCCTCATGCAGCCGCTCTTCTTGTGGAACATTTTATGGATGATGTCGTCAAGGGCTCGACCAACGTCGGCTAGTACCACACGATTGAAGTTTGTAGCCACTTGCGGTGGTCCTTTTGCAGTTAGGCAAATTACCATAAACTATCAGTTCCGGCAAAATGTATGCCGACAGAAGACATTGTTTTTCCAGATTATCTTGTGGTGGCCACTTATAACCTCTTCAACTAGTACAAGCAGCATATACGACAGGGTCACTGGATGATGGGTTTTCATGAGGCTTAGTCAGATTAACCCTAAACATTTGATCGAAGGCCTCATTCCTTTAGCCACATCAAGCTTCCCCCTCCTCTAGATTTTTTGACTTTTTGAATGGCCGATAGGTGATGCATACGGTTTTTTTAACGCCACCCGGTTTGCGAGGATGCTCTGGATCCATACAACGTATTTTTTAGCCACTCATTGATGCACCCGTAGAGGTAACAGCAATCAAAAAATGGTCGTCCCTGTTTCCGCGGTAGCCATCCGCGGACATTACTGTTTTATTGTTTTCGGTCGTGTGCTCCATCCCCAGCAGGTTACCGTTGCTACCCGAGTAAAGCAAATCAGCGTTTTGAAAGAGGCTCGGTAGTGATCGCCAGTCTTACATTGGATAACTTTCTTTCTGTGATCTATGCACTAATTCAATAATTCAGATTGTTCTAGAGATGGAAAAGCCAACCATACTCGCTCCGGAAATGTCACCACCATGAGAGCGCTTGCGTAAGTTTTCCAATGAGGAACGTCCAACCAATGAAGTTCTGCGGTATAAGCGGGGCGTCCGTAGTGCTTCTCGTTTCGTTTTTGTGAAATCGTGACTAACGATCGAAAAAAGACGTGTGGCTATATTGATTTCATCATTTACCTGACGCCTACGACAATACTGGTGGCCGGTTGTTGCCATCGGTTGTTACCTGCTGAGCTGACGCTGTGTCTCGGATTTTTAGCGGCTCCCCTGAACGCACTTCGAATTTGTCAATATTCTATCTGTCCAGCGTAAACAGTTGCGTGACGGTTTACTTGGAATCTGTAAGATGCCTGTCTCATTATGAAAATTAACATTGGTGCCACTACGCTGGTGGCAGTGCACCGTAAGTTTGCAACATTTGGTGGGAGTTTACTCGTTAGATACTTAGAAACTGCTAAGCGGAAGGAGGTCGTTTATTTTAACACGGTGGCTTAGCAGCAGTTAAAATGAAAATAATGGGCAGATCAGTTTTGCAATGTAGAGTTGTAAAACTTTGTGAAAAATGCCTCTCAGTAAGCTCTTAATTTTATTAGACTCCGACAAACTTCATCGCACTACTCGGCAAGGGCATACAGTTGACGAGATCTCATCCCCTTGAGCAGTTGACAAACATAATTTAGAGTACAATGACAGCCGTATTGATGCCTTAGAATTTAAGTGTTTGGGCACACGTGCAGCCAAATAATTTGTAAACATTATTATAGTATGCGGCGCAATGGTGTCTCAAAATCTGCAGGAGGCTCATTTCTGCCAGCGCCTAGATGCACAATATATTTTACTGCAAACACCCTGCGGGCGAAATACAAACTTTAACGTCAAAATGTTGCACTTCTTTGCATATATGCGTAGACTGAAAATCCACCTCATCTGAAGTCATTTTTTGCGATTTGTTTTAATCGATGTCATTTGAAAATTATTGGCGCACATTCGGCTTTGAACTTCGTCTGCTATGGCTTCGGAAGTGGCTTTTGTTGAGAAATTTGTGGGTGTATCGTTTTCATCCTTCAAGGCATTTGAGAAGACCTTAAATGAATACATGAAGGATAACTTTGTGATATTTGTGCGTTCATCCAGTAATCGAAGCACCAACACTATTTGCGTTACGGATGGATGTACTACAAATGCAGCAGGCTCCCTCCAAGACCAACGGAAAGCCGTGGAATCCAAAGAAGCTAGTAAGCCGAGCGTAATTTCTAATAAAAAAAGTACGCGAAGCACTAGCTGCCCAGTGCGGTTTTGCCTACGGAGGCAAAGGAACCAACTGGCAGTGACGTCTTATTTTCTGGAACACAACCACAAACTGTCAAAGTTTCTTTACGATCGGCTTCCAGTCAATCGACGCTTAACCGAAGACGAGTTGGGCACATGCCAGGCCCTGCTGAGATATGGAACGCCGTCATCTGAGGTGCGGCAGTTTGTGGCGGATGAATTCGGAAAGATTCTTACAACTAAGGATATACACAACTACCGCCGGAAGTGTCGACCGGCTATGTTGAGTAGGTGCCTAATGGTTGGGTTTTAATGTAGCAGATGATATGCCTTCGGTCCTGGCAAAACGTCGGGAGATCGGACGCGTTCTTGTGTGTCAGGGAGAGGAAGGTCACTATAGCCACATATGTTTCTCCCGATGGCAGCAGATAGCGTTATTCCGACGCTTTCCCGACGTAGTGAATGTGGACCGGACACATGCAACAAACCGCCTT